ATGATGAATTGGATTGTGATTATTTTAAGGAGACACCTTTACTGATGAAATGTCGTCGTTAGAGGCGATCTAATTTAAAAAATAGTTAAATAAATAGTTTCTTTAATGTATTTTGTACCTGCCTGAGGACTGCAGATGGAAAGGAGCTTGTTGCTAAATCACGCACAGAGCATCTTTTCTATCTGAGATTAATATTTCTGTGCACTGTCCTTGTCTTTAATAAATAAATAAATAAAATAAATGACTACTACTACTGCTATTGTTAGTTTAGAGCTTTCTCGAGTTGAATTAGTGGCGACTACAGTGAAAAAATCCACAATATAATACCTTAAATCCACAATATAATTACAAACTGCGCACGTTCTGATGACATTTCTGACGATTTTGCGATGATTTTTACCAATTTCAGATCAAACTCTTTCTCAAAGTCCTTCACTTGTCTTAAAAATGGATGCACCCGACTGCTAAATGCTAATCTTGAGACATGCGCCATTGAGCTCGGCCCATTGACTTGAATGGGCGGCCATGTTTAGGCCCCGGGGCTTGAATTAAATGAATTCTTCTTCCTGTTTTCTGGCCCAAACAAACCAGTTTCTCTTTCAAATAATTGCAGAGCTTGTACTACACTTGTGCCTTTAGAATATGCACAAGAATGCCAATAACAGACAACAAAAAACGAAATAAAAATGAATGAGTTGCATTGTGGTTGGAGGTTTGTTATTGGCTTGTTTTTATGGAGATGCTGTTGCTCTGCCTGGAATGTTCCGCAGTGTGACATTATTGAATTACAGGTGGTTTTATAGCTCAAAAATACCAAGAAAAGCAGGTATTCTGATTGTGAGCGGGGTCAGCGCTAACTTGGTCTTGTTTGGTCTCCATGAAGATAGAAAGTTTAATACTGTATTTTCCGGGCTATTAGACGCGCTCTTAAGCCTCCAACCCCATCAAAAAACGACTGCGCCCCCCGCAGTCCAGAGCGCCCTGTATACACGAATCCACTCGGGTGTCCCAGCACGACTTCAGTAAACTACAAAGCCGCACCACCCACAGAACACACGGAGCAGACAGCGACCGCGCAGCGAAAAACACCCACAGCCGCACTCATCACTCCACACTGACGAGGAACGGAACGGAGGAACGAACCGAAAAAGCGAGTCCGATGTGCCATTTCTAGACAAAACTGAACAACTGAGTCACTGCGAACACGCCGACAATCCGTTGGTCCCAGACAGCACCCTCCCTACACGCCACAACTGAACAAAGCCCAGAGTCACCGTGAACGCCACAAACAAAGTCCCACTCACCCATCCAACTGTTGTGTTTCGTTTAAAGTCTGGTGCGGTTTATTTGTGAAAAAAGTTAAAAAATAGACCATTTAATGACAGTGCGCCTTATAACCCAGAGCGCCTAATAGCCTGGAAAATATGGTACTATACTGTGAAACATTTCAGAGAAAGCATAACATTTCCATGGAGAAAAATATTTGTCAGTCCAGAAAAGCTACGCAATGCATCAATAACATAAAATATGTGTACTATTTATGTACCGTTTTTTTCGGACCAGAAGTCACATCAGCCAAAAAATGAGCAATGAAGATGAAAAAAACATATAAAGTCAAAGACCAGAAACCGACATTTATAGTAATAACAACTACTAACAGGGTGTTAATGTCACATATGAACAGTTCTTCAGATAAACTATAACATAAACAACAGAACAGAACAAGTTTACCAAACTCTCCATCTCACTCCAAATCACTAAATCCACTGAATTCTTCATCCTCCGTGTCACTTCGGAGCAACTCTGTGACCTCCGGAGGTAAACAGAGCGTCGCTTCCTCTTCTGTGTCGCTGTCGTCAGACTCAGCATCAGTTCCAGTTAGAATTATTCCAGCCTTTCTGAATCCCGACAGGATGGTTTCGGTGTCACTGAAGTTCAGGCTTTGTCAATCCATCCAGTGACTTCCAGGAAAGTTTCATGGTGCATCCTCCCAGTGTCACAAGTTTCTTTCTGCTGCTCGATTACAGTTTTCAGCTGCAGATTTCACTACTTGAGGCTTGTAATCTGCAAAATATGATTTCCTTTTTTGGGGGCATTTGTGTTCAGTCTTCTCAGTCGTCTTTATAACTTTGTTTGAATTTAAAACTTTCGGTCGTACAGAAGTAATGGTGCGATCGACTGACATGATACAGACAGGACAGTGGCTCTTTCTGCAGGAGACATGCGCAGTAGAGCCAAGTGACAGTGGTACAGGACTAGACTAGACTAGACTAGAGTTTCTTGTGGCTGTCAGTGTGAAAATTTTAATATATAAGTCGCATTGGAGTATAAGTCACACACCCAAACCATGAAAAAAAGTGCCAATTATACTCCAAAAAATACAATAATTGGCTTTAGAAATATCTTATAACTTGGATAAATACGAGATTTCCCAGAGCTTTTTTTGTTCGGTTTGCATTTGAACTGAAATAAACTGTTGATCATAATAGGCGACTTTACTCTATTACTCACGAGCTTTGAAAGAGCTGAATATTGCATGAAAGAAAATGGTGTAAGATTATTAAAGGGTCTCTGGTGGTCTCCAATATCGCTGCATCACACCTGGGTTTCACAAGGAGATGCAGCTCATGCGTTAATGACATGCAGGTTCTGAATCGACTGTGAACTGACTGTGAAGCTTATATTACCATAAAGGTTCATCAGGTAGAGGTAGCTGATTCATAAATGAGTGCCAATAAAAATATGCAGTTTTAGGCTCATGTGAAAGCTGCAGTGAGGTTTGCTGCATGTTAATTGAATTACATAGTGTGATAGCGCTCTGAATGTCAATGGCTCTGTTTACATGTTGATTGTTATCAGATTTCGGGCGTTATCTGATTACTGAAATTGAAATGTCATGTAAACAGTTATATCTGATGAGAGTAATCTGATTTCGTTCTGATCGTTCACAGCTGTGCAGGTTTTGGCGAGGAAAATTATGCAAAAAGGGCAAACTAATGCGGCGAAGGCAATCCGGGGGTGTTACTCACGAGCGAGAGGAGGATGGAGCGTGAGACTGACAGGGGGATCGATGCGGCGTCGGCAGTGATGCGGTCGCTGTATCGGATGTTGGGGTGAAGGAGGAGCCGAGTCGAAAGGCGAAGCTCAATCTACGTTCCTGCCCTCACCTGTGGTCGTGAGCTTTGGGTAATGACCGAAAGGACGAGATCGCGGATACAAGCGGTCGAAATGAGTTTCCTCCGCAGGGTGGCTGGGCGCTCCTTTAGATATAGGGTGAGGAGCTCGGAGTAGATGATGCTTGGGCAGGAGGGTCAGTGCTCAGACCAATAATCTATACATTTTCTTGAAATTTAAATGGGATTGAATGGATTATGGGTTATTATCTGAATACTTACTTACTGTGTAGAGCAGGGGTTATCAAACTAAGGCCCACGAGCCGACTACGGCCCGCCATGCCCCTTTGACCGGCCCCCCAGTCCTTCTGTCCCCCACCACTTGTTTGTTGTTGTTTAAATTAGTTTTTGGCAAATAATAACACATCTGCATTTTGTATTTTGTTGATTTTTTTTCAATAAAAAATTATATTTATATGAAGTATTTAAATGTATATAATTATATGATTTATTTACATTCGCCGCCAAATTTTCATCACCTGACAAGCCCGAGATCAATCAGTGACAGTCAATGTACGCACAGAGCTTTGTAGGGCAGTTAAGGACAGCAAAATATTAAGTGTTAAAATATTAACCGATTATGTTAAAGTAGTGTTTTATATTTTTTATTTTTTTATTCAGTGCAACGACAGTTTGTTCACTTGAGACTTGCCCAGGCGTCCACAATCCATTGTCAAATCATGACGTATTTCGCCCGGCATTGCCTCCCTGTCTTGGTGAATGTGGATTATGAATGTGAATGTGAGTGGATAATTTAAGTTTGTTTTTTTATTTCCTACGAGGACGACTCAAATATACATTGAGTAATAATGTGCTTAATGCAGCTTTGTGCACATTTGTTTACATTTTACAGAAACTAAACTTAAAGCCACATGGCTCATTTGCATAAACTATAAGCGCTGACAAAACATGCGGCCAGTTTCTGTCAGACTAAAGGACACGACACAGTGGAATATGAGTGCTCTTTCTGTGACAGAGGATGTGCTGCTGATGGTGAGTCTGTTCTGTGCTTCCATCGCGTTGGAGATGATTCATGTGAAACCTCTCAGAGATTATATTACTCCGCGAGACTCCTGACTAGAGTAGACGTAATGCTCCGACAAGTGATCAAGCGGTGCGGCTTTGTAGCTCACCAAAATCATATTAAAACATTTTGACAGATTTTTGAGCACCGTGTACCACATAAAATCGGTTCAAGGTCAGTAAGCACCAGAATTAACACATAAGACGCACCGGATTATAAGGCGCACTGTCGATTTTTGAGAAAATTAAAGGAGTTTAAGCGCGCCTTATAGTCCGAAAAACTACGGTATATGTAGCGTGTGTATGATTATTGTTTCTCTCTTGGCAAAAACTCGAAATAAAAACAAATCAATGCTCTAGTTGTCTGATTTTTACTGACCGTGTAAAGGTACCCAATAAAATAGAAAAGATGTTTACTGAACAATTTTTACACTGTGTACCAAAAGATTCACAGCGAGTGCAGCACAAAAGGATGCAAATGAGCCGCTCCACCCACAGCTGCTTTCCTGTGCCATATTGTCGTCCTCTCCTTTATATTCTCTCCATACTCTTCTATACTCCCTCTATATTCTCTCTATCTCTTGTGAATCCTCGGATCTCACAACCAGCCTCTTGGCAACCATTCGGCGTCTTTGATTCTCTCAGACAGGACCAGGATGGAGAGGTACTTCAGACTTGAAAATGTGTGGGTGCCCAAACGCCCACGGAGGCCACGAGAAGCATGTATTTTCTCAGCAGTCAGACAAACACATATAGACACAAAAGAGAGATTTCAAAGCGACGCAGGAGATGAGAGGATCGTACCTGCACCACTAAGATGACCATGCCGATGGTTCCGAGCAGGTGTTTGTTATCGTCCAGCCACTCCTCCACTTTCTCAAAGCAGCCCTGAAAAGAACAGCACAGATTTGTCAGGATTAGACCGGACGGTTTAGAGAGGAGAAGAAAAACATTTGGGATTTGGATTTTCTACTTCAACTGCTGCTGCTGGTACTGCTGCTACTATTACTGCTACTATTACTACAGAACTACTGCTACAGCTACTGCTACTACTACTACTACTACTACTACTGTTATTACTATACTACTATTACTATTACTATTACTATTACTATTAGTACTACTGCTACTACGACTATTACTATCATTATTTCTACTACTGCTACTGCTACTACTACTACTACTACTACTACTACTACTACTACTACTACTACTATTACTATCATTATTACTACTACTACTACTACTACTACTGTTACAGCTACTGCTACTACTACTATTACTATTACTACTACTACTATTAGTATTACTATTACTACTACTGCTACTACTAATATTACTATTGCTACTACTACTACTACTATTACAGTTACTACTACAAGTACTGCTTCTACTACTGCCACTGCTACTACTACTATTACTACTGCTACTGCTACTACTACTATACTACTACTACTATTACTACTGCTACTGCTACTACTACTATACTACTACTACTACTACTACTACTACTACTATACTACTACTACTACTACTACTACTACTACTGTACTACTACTATACTACTACTACTACTACTACTACTACTACTGTTACTACAACTACCACCACTACTACTACTACTACTACTACTACCACTACTACTACTACTGTTATTACTATACTACTACTACTACTACAGCTACTGTGACTACTACAACTACTACTGCTATTACTACTATTACTATTACTATACTGCTACAGCTACTGCTACTGCTGCCACTGCTACTGTTACTACTACTACTATTGCTACTACTACTAGTAGTACTTCTATTAAAAGACTAAAGAATTTACTTAGATACAGCAGCTCTCACATTAAAATATAATAACAAAAACAAGACATTACTGCTACAACTGCTGCTACTACTACAACTATTACTACTACTACTTCTACACTAAAAAATTTACTTGGATACATAGCTCACACATTAAAGGTCCTATATTACACAACATTTTTTTAAACCTTTTGTTCAGTAGTGATTGGTAATTCCAGGGCTGAAATTATTAAAATTTTAGACTTTAAATAGACTTTAAAAGCACAGAGGAGCACTTCCTGTATCACCACATGACATCACAACGTGGAACGGAGTTTGTTTTTTGTTTGAGATAAGAACTCAGCCTAAATATGCAGTGTGTTAAACATGTGTGAATGAAACAAAACACAACTCCAGGTATGTTTTTGATGAGGAAACAACATAACATTGAATGGAAAATAACATAATATGGACAAATATAATGACAAAAGCAAGAAATAACTACTACTAATACTAATAAAACGATTTTTTTAAACTAACTTACTATTCCAGCTCAAAAAGTTTTCTGATTTCTGAGTGTCTGAAGTCTTTCTGCCATACATTCCCATATGGACTCCCTCAGACTCTCCTGCGATGTGCTTTTTTCGCTTTTAGTTGTAGTGTTGGCAGCTCTGAAGTGAAGTGCCTTGCTCATACACCTATAAGTTCAAGTGTTCTAAATGGCCATGTGCGAGAGGTGCCTGCATGCATGTTTGAAGGAGACATAAAGCTTTTTACGCCCTCGGGTTCATCGTCGGGTCAGCCTGCGACGAAAGGTAAGAGGAGGGACTTTAAGGTGCACTCTGGACTCTTAAAGGGCCCATATTAAGATGGTTTATGATGTTATAATGTTGCTTCCTCATAATTTTATCAGCTCTTCAGTCCCAATTTTTATACCTCGTTTTCCCTCTCTTTGTATTGGTCATTGTAACATTTGACTGGTTGGAAATTTAGCTCATTACGGTGTAAAAACGTCGTTCTGTCTTCACATAGCTACGGGCAGTTTTAACTAAATAATGAGATCGAGAGATGCCATTAAACCACTCATTGTACGCTATTATCTGAGCTATATTATAATATTGTTTCCTCGTCACAACGGCTATGTTCAGACTGCAGCCTGAAGTGACCCAAATCTGATTTTTTTTCACCCCATGCTCTTGTTTCTACAGTAATCTTTTAATGATAGTCTGAATCTGATTTTTTTCAAATGCGACCCAGGCCACTTGGATATGTGCTTCTAAAACTGATACATATCCGATCTTTTGACATGCGACTTCAGTCTGAACGGTCAGGTCACATTCATCCCACCTACACGTCAGGCTCTGAGTCGAGTCAGTGTAGGGAAAGTGAGTTTAGTGAGTTTAGTAATATTTGGGGGGATCGCTGTATTCAGGCTAAATTGGGGGGGTCTTATCGGAACTGGGCCTTTTTTGAGATGAATTGTCAAAGAAATTTCCGAGCGTGGCTACAGCCGGTCCTGGCTCCGATGTCAACAAAAAATAAAGAGCCTGTGAGCCGAATACAAGGAGGCTAAAGACTCAAACAAACGAAGCGGCTATGGACGTGTAAACTCTGCAGAAGAACTGGACTGTATTTTGGGAGACAAACCCAAAATTTAGGCGACTTCCATAAACACTGAGCACGTTCCCTGTGTGTGATGTCGTCGTGTCCTCCAATGCACATGCGGGATACTGTTGGGGCATTTAAAGTTCACATTGGAGATCACAAACAAGTCGTATTTAATTCGAAATGTGAACGACCTCACAAAAAAATTGGATTTCACAAAAATATTCAGAATTGAGCATTAAGCCCTGCAGTCTGAATGAAGCCAAACATACATGGAGTTTTGTTTGATTCACACATTTTTAATGTACAAACCCTGTGAATCTGCTGAGTTCTTCACTCAAACAGAAAACGCTATTATCTTTTCATGTCAATGTGGTGTAACACTATGTTTTTAAACTCTATACACCTTCACTAGAATCCTTTGGATGATTTTAGCCATGGAATTGCCAATCTTAATTGAACAAAACATAAATGGTATCCGTTAACTTGAAAACAATTGCTCATAGACTGTGTAAAAAAGTGGACTAAGTGAATGTGACTCACTCTGTTCAAATGAAGCTTGCGACGCTAACGATTACAGCGGTGAATTTGGAGCCAGGCTCTAGATTAGGAATCAGAATTTTTACCAGACACAGTCGTGAAATAAAAACTCAGCTGCTGTTACACAGAGAGGGGCCAAGTCGATTAGAAGGACCCGGAAGAGCCCACATTCGTACTTCCTATGCTTCCTATGCAGTCGATGCTACCGCTCCATGACATCACCAGTTGGAACCGAGCATTGTACATTTTGGAGACATAAACAGACAAATAAGATAAAGCAAACTTACTCAAACATGTGTGATTGAAACCAAGCACCCAACATGGTACATAGGTCTCCATAGGTTAATGTATATTATGCACTGTCCCTGTCTCATTAAATAAACTAACTATCTGCACAACTCCAGGTATGTTTTTGAGGACATAACAACATTCTAACATGATTTAAATCTCACAAGAGTCAATTTTTCGTAATATAGGACCATTAAAGGTTGTATGGAGGATTTTTTTGTTTGTTTGTTTGTTTGTTTGTTTCAAATTGTCAATGAAAGTTCAAAATAGAATTATAGAAATGCAGCAGCCTTGTAATTATGATGACCAAAAAAAAAAAAAGAATGAAAATCCATCAGCTGTGGACGTGGTGGGGGCAGATAAACATCAGCCAATAGACAATGAGGCTCCCTCTTTATCTATTGGCTGTTAGGTTGTCAATCAAACTGCCTACGTTTCTACGTTTCTGGCTTGCCGACGCGCTGGGATTGCGTGGTTTATGTTCGCCTCTCACGCACTGATGCCATTTACTCAACCAGCACAGCGGTTCTTGGCATCTTTTTCGAACTAGCTTCCTTTCAGTTTGCACAATTTTTTTTTTAATGGCAGACAAGAATTCACGACTAATTCGCCGCAAAAGAAAGTCCATTTTTGACGTCACTGAAAGAAGAAGAGAAAGGAAAAGGAGCGAAGCACAACATTTAAAAAAGGACAAACAGTCGCTGCATTTCTCTTTCCTTGGAAAATCTTCTATACAACCTTTAAGTACATAGGGTAATAAAGACCTCTACCTCTCTGTTGCGTACAAGCTTCTGATTGTGTTAAGTGTGTGGTTATGTCCTGTGGGTAGGATTACTCTCCGCAGACTTCCCAGTGGGCCGGCTCACTGTCTGTCTATTCTCATTTTAACAATTGTATTAGAGCTTTTAATCCGCTGCCTTGGCCCCGCTAACAAGCCACACGCCAGACCAACAGCAGATTAGGACGCTAATGGGGGAGACTGGCTAACAGCGTAGCGTGAGGTTCCGGCGCAAAAACGAGCTGTTGTCTCCTGCATAATGAAGAGACGAGAGTGTGATGAGAATGTACCACTCAGAGGAAAGAAAGGACACAGTTAATGCAGCAAATGGAGCGACTGTTTAAAAAGTAGATTTAAAGTTAACACGAAGTGAGCAGCAAATCGGCCTGATCCTTAAAGTAATGAACGCAGTAATTAAATATACTCAATTAAGTAATTAAACTATGATACTACTACTACTACTTCTACTTTAACAACTACTAAAACTACTACAACTACTACAACAACAACTAACTACTACTACTACTTTTTCACTTAACAGAAAGTGAGCAGCAAATCGGCCTGATCCTTAAAGTAATGAACGCAGTAATTAAATATACTCAATTAAGTAATTAAACTATGATACTACTACTACTACTTCTACAGCTACAATAACTACTACAACAACAACAACTACTACTACTACTTTTTCACTTAACTCATTAAACAATTATACTACTACTACTATAACTACTATACCCATTGCTACAACAAAAACTACTACTACTACTACTACTAGTACTACCACTTTCGTACTTAACAGAAAGTGAGTGGCAAATAGGTCTGATCCTTAAAGTACTTAATGCAGTAATTAAATATAGTCAAGTATCATTAAACAATGATAC